AATAAAAAAGTAAAGGAGTGCCTGGGTGGCTCAGTTGGTTGAGCATCTGAGTCTTGGTTTCCACTCAGGAAACCAGGTCATGATCTCACAATTCATGGGTTTGAGCCCCAGCCTTGGGTTCTGTGCTGACAGCCTGCTTGGGATTCTCTCTCTCCTTCTCTCTGCCCCTCCCCTGTTCATACCTTCTTGCACTCTCTCAAAATACATTTTAAAAACAAATAAAAGGAGTCCTTTAAAAAAATAAATAAGTAAACAAGTCATTTTATTTTTTTCTAGGTAATCGCTACACCCAACGTGGGGCTCAAACTTAAAACCCCAAGATCAAGAGCTGTATGCTCTACCAACTGAGCCAGCCAGGTGCCCCCAGAATGTTTTCTCTTTAATCCAACTGATGCTCTGTGATCTTTGCTGCTGTAGCCCTCTTGTGACCAAGAGGAAAGAAGCCAGAGGACCAAAGCCAACAATTCAGGATAACATAGCAGAAATATGGAAAAGGCTTGGACCTTTGCTGATATCATTGAGTCACTGAATTAGCCAACCCTGGAATTCCCTACATCTGGACTTCTTATACGAGATGACAAACCCCAGTATTGTTTAAGCCATTTTAAATCAAGTCTTGTGTCACTTGCAGAAAAAAACACCCTAACAGGTGTATGCTGTTGGTTGGCTACCCATTCCCAAACTCCTTTTCCATTACAGAGGGTGAAAATGCCAGATACTTGCTTTCCCAGCTTCCCTAGCAGCCGGGAGCACACATGACCTCGTTCTGGCCCATGAGACACAAAGGTAAGTTCACTTGGAACTCCGAGAAAAGAATTACCACCACTCCCCTCATCACCCCAATCAAAATTAAGAAAGAGGCATGGGAAGAGAAGTTTCTTTTTCTTCCTGAATGATATAGTAAGAAAATCTGACTGCTTGAGCCATGTCAACCATATTGTGACTGTTCAGAGCAAAACTGAGCATGAAGACTAGAACATAGACTGGCAAAGTGGAAGAAGGGAAGGAAATGGGTTCTGATGACATTGCCAAGCCTCTGAACCAACCCTTGGCTCACCTACTTCACACTCATTAAGAAAGCAAGAAAGAGGGGTGGCTGACTCAGTCAGTAGAGCATGTAATTCTTGATCTCAGGGTGGTGGGTTCAAGCCCCATATTGGGTGGAGGGAGGGAGGGAGGGAGGAAGGAAGGGCCTTATGGTTTACGCCACTGTTGGTGAGATGGATTTTCTGTTGCTTACATCGTCCTTACTGATAAACCCACATTTATAAAACTGCCAGTTAAGAAAGGAAGTGTAGGGGTGCCTGGGTGGCTTAGTCGGTTAAGCGTCCGACTTTCGCTTAGGTCACGATCTCACAGTTCGTGGGTTCGAGCCCCGCGTCGGGCTCTGTGCTGATGGCCAGCTCAGAGCCTGGAGCCTGTTTCAGTCTGTGACTCCCTCTCTCTCTGACCCTCCCTTGCTCGCGCTGTCTCTCTCCTAGAAATAAATAAAACATTAAAAAAAATTTTTTTTTAAATTAAAACAAAAAAAAGAAAGGAAGTGTGGCTGTGGAGCATGATCTAACTCAGCAGTAGCATTTGCATGGTCATAATAATATAAATGGTGACCTGTTTTAACCAAAAATTGTCAAAATAGCTCTCTTGGGGGAGTAAAAAGAGTAAAAATGGGATCACGGTATGTGAAAAGGCCCAGTCTTCATCACCATCAAAGGAATTCACAAATGATGTCTAAATTTTAAAAATTAAACAGAGTGGTTTTAAGTGTGTTAATTATTGGGGCACCTGGCTGGCTCAGTTGGTTAAGCGTCTGACCCCTGATCTTAGCTCAGGTCATGATGTCACAGTTCATGGCATTGAGCTCTGTTTTGAGCTCCTGGTTGTCAGCATGGAAACTGCCTAGGATTCTCTCTTTTCCTTCTCTCTCTCTCTGCCCCTTCCCCATGCTCTCACTCGTTCTTTCTCTCTCTCAAAATAAATTAACTGTAAAAAATAAGTAAAATCTTATTTTAAAAATGTATTAATTAGAAGTAGGGAGATATATATGAGGAGAAAGAGAAAGGGCTTAAAATATCTCCTTTGGAAAAGAACTCAGGAGGTAGGGAAAGCTGGGGCAGGGTGATCTGCCTGACTCATCATGAAACTCTCAGTTCGACTTAGCTCTTTTAAAAAATGAACACATATTCTCTGATAAAATCTTAAATTAATGTCAAGTCAAATCCAATTAAAAAAATATTTGGATTTGGAGACAAATTTCACAAACTAAGCCATGTCAAAGAGAAACAAGCTAACAAGAAAATGAGTGAGTACATGAAAGATAACTCATTAACATGCTCTGATATCATTTAATCATTATAAAAATGGGGGCACCTGGCTGGCTCAGTCAGAAGCACATGCGACTCCTGATCTTGGAGTTGTGAGTTTGAGCCCCATGTTGGGCATAAAAATTACCAAAAAAAAAATAATAAATAAAAAACAACTATAAAAATGGATGGAAGTTACAAAGATAGAGCTATTGGAGGTGTATGGTGACATATATTTATAACGAACATAGGAAATGAAGTGACAGAGCCTGAAATTTTTAACTTCCAGATTAAGGCATCCATTTTTCAGTTTACAGAGACTAGTTTTGTGCATATCACATGCTCAGTCTTACACTTGAATCTCTGTGCATCCCTGTAATAAAGAAGCTCAACATCCCAGCTGGGGGACCAAGATTAACCAACAAACATAAAGCACAGAATGGCATAAGGAAAGAGTCACAAGGAGCTGAGGAGCGCGCATTGGTATAGTTAGGCCCTCTGGGTAACGTGGGTTTGAATTCTGGCCTGTAAGGAATGAATAGTGTTTCTGGAGGCTGGAGAAGGAGGGTGGGGTTCCAGGTAAAATAAATAGGACAAACAAAGTCATTAAGGTAGGATGTATCCTTAACCTATAAAGAGCTCATCCAATAGAAAAAAGAAAAAGACCAAGAACCCAGTTAAAAAAAAAAAGAAAAAAAAAAGGAAATAGGAAATGAGGGCCACCGGGATGGCTCAATTAGTTAAGCGTCTGACTCTTGGTTTTGGCTCAGGTCATGATCTGACATTTTGTAGGTTTGAGACCCACATCAGACTCTGCACTGACAGTGAGGAGCCTGCTTGGGATTCTCTCTCTCTCTCTCTCTCTCTGCCCTTCCCCTTCTCTCCCCTCCCTCAAAATAAACAAATGTTTAAAAAAAATAAAAAATAAAATATTTGAAAGCATATAAGAGAAATATCCAATAAATTCCATTGTCATCTCTCCCACTGGCAAAGATCAAAAAGTTTCATAACCCTACGTGTAGCAGGCAGAATTTTCATATGGTCCCCCAAATTCCCACCCCTGGTGTTCACACAACTTCTCTCAGTAATTCACTCTCACACTAATCTAAGTGTTGCCGCGAATCGGATGTTGCCGATATAATTAAGTTTCCAAACCAGGTGACCTTAAGATCTGGATGGGCCTGAGCTAATCATATAAGCCCTCTAAATCGAGGTCTAGGGGCACCTGGCTGGCTCAGTCAGTAGAGCCTGCGACTCTTGATCTTAGGGTCATGAGTTCAAGCCCCACATTTGGTGTAGAGTTTACTTTAAAAAAAAAAAATGAGGCATGCCTGGGTGGCTCAGTCAGTTAAGCGTCTGGTTTCAGCTTAGGTCATGATCTCACGGTTTCATGAGTTTGAGCCCCAAGTCGGGCTTTATGCTGGCAGCTCTAAGCTTGCCTGAGATTCTCGCTCTCTCTTCTCTCAGCCCATCCCCCATCCGTGCTGTCTCTGTCTCTCAAATAAATAAACTTAAAAAAAAAAAAAAGAATAAATAAATAAATAAATAAATAAACAAACCTAGGCCTAGAGGTCAGAGACAGGGAAGTCAGTGATCCAAAGCAGAAGAAAGATTTGATTCACTGTTGTTCACTTGAAGATGGAGGAGACCAGGTGGCAAAGAATGCCAACAACTTTTAGTAGCTGAGTGCAGCCCAAAGCTGACCAGCCTGCAAGAGAGGTAGACCTCAGTCCTACAACCATAAGGAACTGAAATTCATCAAAAACAAGCTTGGAGGCAGATTTCTCCCTAGAGTCTCCAGGCAAGAATTCAGTCTGGTTGGGGCACCTGGGTGGCTCAGTCGGTTGGGCACCCGACTTCGGCTCAGGTCATGATCTCACGGTTCGTGGGTTCGAGCCCCGTGTCTGGCTCTGGGCTGACAGCCAGCTCAGAGCCTGGATCCTGCTTCCGATTCTGTGTCTCCCTCTCTCTCTGACCCTCCTCTGCTCACACTGTCTCTATCTCCCTCTCTCAAAAATAAATAAAACATTAAAAACAATTTTTTTTAAAGAATTCAGTCTGGTCGGTTTTAACCTTGTAATACCCTGAGCCAAGAGCCCAGCCATGCTGCGCCAGACTTCTGACCTACAGAACTGTGAGCTAATAAGTGGGTGTTGTTTTCAGCCACTGAGTTTGAGGTAATTTGTCATGCAGCCATGGAAAGCTAATATGCTGTGTTTAAAAGGGTGTGGAGAAATTTATTGCTGGTTGTCATATAAATACGTATAACATCTATGGAGGGCAAATTGGCAATATATATGAAAATTAAAGTTGCTCATCCCTTTGACTCAGCAACTCCTTCTTTAAGAATACCTCCTACAGATACACTCAGACATGTGCGAGATGATCTATAAACAAGGATACACGTTGTGGTGTTGCTGGTAACAGCAAAAGACTGTCTGCAACCTATGTATCTACCAATGGTAGGCTAGCCTAATACATGCTGGTGTGGCTCCCAAAATGAGGCCATGTGAGACACCCTGATATTGAAAGACCCCCAGGAATTATTTTTTGGTGAAAATGTAAGGTTTAGATGGTTTATAGAATGCTACTATTTGTCCAAAGCCAAAAAAAAAAAAAATTAAATGAGAAAAATATAACCATACATGTTCATAAATGCATCGGATATTTCTGGAAAATACACAAGAAACACAAGGTTACCTTTACAGAAGGTGATCCATTGACTAGTGGACAGAAGAAGGACGACTTTTTCCATGTTCCCTTGTTCTCTCTTTCCAGAACAAAGACGGTGTGTGTATCAGCAGTTCAGAAAAAGAAATACAAACAAAAGAACAAGATTAGCTCTGTCCTTGTGGGTACTTGAAGAGAATAAAACTACATTTCTTTAAAGGAAGTAAGGGGGCGCGGCGCCTGGGTGGCTGAGTCGGTTCAGCATCTGACTTTAAATTTCGACTCAGGTCATGGTCTCGGTTGTGAGATCGAACCCCACTGGGGTCCACACTAAGAGCCAGGAGCCTGCTTGGAATTCTCGCTCTCCCTCTCCCCCCCCAACCCTCTCTCCCTCTGTCTCTGCCCTTCCCCTGCTGGCACGCTCATGCTCGCTCTCCCTCGCTCTCTCAAATAAATATTTAACAAAAAATTAAAAAAAGAGGTAAGGAGAAGGAAAGAAGGGAAGGAGAAAACCAGAAAAGACCAAGATGAGACTTAACTGCCACTCGCTCTCTGTTCACCTAAATATTTCTCCTTGGTATCAACGCTATGGCTCATTTTCAGACAAAGGTCTACTTGCAAGTGCCTACAGAGACGTCGCCATTTCCTTGTGCTCAGGGTGCACCCATCTGGCTCCCAGCAAGTGCCCCATAAATACTTACTGCCGAATGGAAACCAACTCGACAATAAACTATTTGTAAAAAAAAGAAAAATGTTACAAACACAAGTATTTGGCTAAAAATAAAAAAAAATAAAAAAAACTTACTGCCGAAATCAGCTAGCGCTTACTGCTGCTTTATCCACCTTCTTTTTCTCATAAAAGTAGGATGCCAATGTGGTTTTGTCCCTATGTTAATCGAAGATTTCTTTCTTTTATTTTCAGGTACACTCTACAACCAAGGAAGGGCTCGAACTCACCACCCGAGATCAAAAGTCGCGCGCTCTACTGACTGAGGCAGCCAGGCGCCCCCTTGGAAGATTTGTCAACCTTTGCTAAAAAGTCGGAGTTTCAGCGTTAGCTGCTGTCTTTTTTTTTTTTCCAGCGGGCGCCAGCGGGGTTAGAAGGCTGGGTAGAGAGTTTCCTCACGACTAATCGATTTTGAAGTTGAGAAAGGCTTTGAGGGAGAACAGAGCACGACGTTGAGCGATGCGAGAGGCTGAGCCCACCGTAGGCACCGCGAAGCGGAAGATCCGTGCCCCACCCACCCCGACAGCTCGCACTCGCGCCCCCTGCAGGCTGGTGGTTCTATCTGCAACTCTCCGTGGTTTCTCACACCTATAACCCTTTCCACCCGTGGGCCCCTCCGCCTGGAAGCCCATCAACTCAGGCTTCTCATCTGACTCGGTCAAGGCTTTTTGTTTGGTGAAACTCGTACGATTTCTGGCTCAGGGGTCCCTCCTCTGGGCCTCCATAGCGCCCGCGTTCACATCCCTCTTGTGTTTGTTTGCCCTCCCCCCAAAGCAAACCCTGAGACAAGGCTGTGGAGGCAAATGGCTTAGGTGACCCCAGGAATCACAAGTGATTTCCTTCCTTTAAAGAACTGTACTTTTGGGGCACCCGGGTGGCTCAGTTGGTTAAGCGACTGACTCTTAGTTTCAGCTCGGGTCAGGATCTCACTTTGGTAAGTTGGAGCCCCATATCTGGCCCAGTGCTGACAGCTCAGAGCCTGGAGCCTGCTTGGGATTGTCTCTCTCCTTCTCTCTCTCTCGCAAAATACATGAACAAACTTTAAAAATTAAAAACAAAAAACAAAAAAGAACTGTACTTCTCTTCAAGTAGGGAAAGTGAGACATAGAGGGAAGCTAATAAAGGACACGTTTATGGGTTGATGCGTTTATGGGTTTAACAACCTGAGCAACTGGGGCTCAAGCCTTCAAGGGATCTTCTGAGAGGCCCAGAACACGCCTCAGAACCGTCACACTGGAGGACCAGGAGGCTGGGACATTTCCCTACCAACTTCCATGCCCTTTTGCTAACCCCCACCTACACTTCCGGTTGTGCCTCCGGGTGCTTCGGCTGGGAAGCTGAGAGGCAGGCCTCCAGGCAGAGTGTCACCTGCCTATCACAGCCCCGCGGGGTGGAGGGGGGAGGTCAGGGGAGACGCGACAGGCCGTCGACAGCATTCTGCAGCATCGAGCCTAACGCTTGCACACGGTAAATTGGCTATATTCTCCCTCCCTGCCCCAGTAGACTGTAGTTTTCATCTCTTCATCCCCAGCTTCAAGCAGCACATTGCTACACATTTTGTGCTGAAAAACTATTGAAGGAAGGAAGGAGGGAAGGAATGAGTGAACAAGCTTGAAGTCGATGTCAATGAGCACTGGGGGAGAAGACTGATTTTCATCATGCTAGGATCAGATTACAGTGGCTTTGGGGCGCCTGGGTGGCTCAATCGATTAAGCAAAAAACTTTGGCTCAGGTCACAATCTCATGGTTCATGAGTTCGAGCTCCGCATTGGGGTCTTTGCTGTCAGTGCAGAACCCGCTTCAGATCCTCTGTCTCCCTCTCTCTGCCCCTCCCCTGCTCTCTGTCTCTCTCAAAATTAAATAAACACTAAAAAAAAAAAAAAATTACAGTGGCCTTGAATGCCAGAATGTTGTCTACTTTAATAATTTGAGGGAACAACTTTCACACACAAAAATTGGCAGAGGAGTGCCTGGGTGGCTCAGTCGTTTAAGCCTCCAACTCTAGATTTCCACTCAGGTCATGACCCCATGGTTCGTGAGTTCAAGCCCTGCACTATCAATGTGGAATCTGCCTGGGATTCTCTCTCCCTCCTTCTGTCCCTCCCCAGCTCGCTCTAAGTAAATAAACTTTTTGAAAAATCCACAAACATTGGCAGAAAACACAGGAGGTCCAAATCATTAAAAGTCTCAGGGCACCTGTGTGGCTCAGTCAGTTAAGCATCTAATTCTTGGTTTTGGCTCAGGTCATAATCTCACAGTTTCATGAGTTCAAGCCCCACATCAGGCTCTGTGCTGACAGCGTGGAGCCTGTCTGGGATTCTCTCTCTCCGTCCATCTCTCTGCCCTTCTCCCTACTCACATACTCTCTCTCTCTCTCTCAAAATTAATAAATTAATTTTTTTTATTGTTTTATTTATTTCTAGGAGAGAGAGAGAGACAGCGTGAGCAGGGGAGGGTCAGAGAGAGAGGGAGTCACAGACTGAAACAGGCTCCAGGCTCTGAGCTGGCAGTCAGCACAGAGCCCGACGCGGGGCTCGAACCCACGAACCGCGAGATCATGACCCAAGCGAAAGTCGGACGCTTAACCGACTAAGCCACCCAGGCGCCCCAATAAATTAATTTAAAAAGACAAATCATTAAAAGTCTCAAAACAACTTGGTAAATGAGACCGTCCACATCTACCTTGTGTCACAGGGATGAATACGCCATTATTTGTTATTTCTGTAATTTCTCATGGTCTCAGGAAGTGATGTCCCCATTATTCCCTTCTCAACCAGGGCCTTGACAATCCATCCTCAAACTTCCCTCTGAGTCCAGATAAAGGGACTATTTCCTTTTCATTTCCTGTTTCAGTCCAAGTGCTATGGAAAGTAACAACCAAGGCAAAACTAAAATGACCCCAGACAGGACGAACAAGAAGCAGCAAGTCGTGTGGAAATCAGGGGCTGTGTGCCCAGCCACTGTCGTCCTCAGTTAATTGCCTGACACGCCCTCCTGGCCCAGTTCAGGGATCTGGACCGGGCAGGCCTGCCCACACAAGTGACCTGCCCACCCGCCCTTGGACGCTCCCATGGCCTCCGCCACTCTGGCACTTAGAATTGGCCACCCTACCCAGGTCGCAACCACGGAAGTGGAAGGAAAATGAGTTGCTCCCTTGTCCTCTGGCCGGCAGCCAGGAGCCAGGCTCCCTGATGACGGGGAGTGTTCCCCTGGGCTGTTGAAGGCCCTGACTCACCTTCCCCCCTACAATAGGTGTGGCTTCAGCAGGAACTCTACCAGTAAGGGCCTGGGTGGCCTTCCAAGTGGGGACCTTCTTTCCTGTCAGCCTGGGATCCAAGAGGAATACAGTCCCCTCAGAAAAGAGCACATTCGGGGCGCCTGGGTGGCTCAGTCAGTTGGGCATCCCACTTCGGCTCAGGTCATGATCTCACGGCTCCTGAGTTGGAGCCCCGCGTCGGGCTCTGTGCTGGCAGCTCAAAGCCTGGAGCCTGCTTCGGATTCTGTGTCTCCATCTCTCCCTGCCCTTCCCCAACTTATACTGTCTCTCCCTCTCTCTCTCTCTCAAAAAAAAAAAACAAAAAAAAAAAACACTTAGAAAACTTTTTTTTTAAGAAAAGAGCACATTCAAGGCCTGGAGAATTCAGCTTGCCCATCGTGAAGTGTAAGGCAAGCACGATGCCCAGAAGCATACGAGGAACACAGCTCTTACCACATGGATTAGCCCACCGTGGCTGCCCAGCACAGTGGGCGTGCACCAAGCAGGTACAGAACTGAGCATCTGTCATTGAAGCTGTGGCCTCCTCCAGATTCTTTGACACAGCACCTTTCCCGTTTTCCTGCTACACTTCCAGTCTCTTCACTGTCTTCTGTCCTCCCCTGCTTCTGACCTAGTCTTCCCTGATGGATGGGTCTCTTTACCCTGTTCGTCAGTGACTTCACCAAGCTTGGATTCAACGATCTTTTTTTTTAATGTTTATTTATTTATTTCTGAGAGAGCAAGAGCAGGGGAGGAGCAGAGAGAGAGGGAGACAGAGAATCGCAAGCAGGCTCCGTGATGTCAGTACAGAGACCGATGCGGGGCTTGAACTCAGGAACTGTGAGATCATGACCTAAGCCAAAATCAAGAGTCGGACACCCAACCCGCTGAGCCACTCAGGTGCCACTCAAGGATCATTTTCTGAGAGCTTAAAATGTAGTCCGCCTTTGTACCACTCTTTCTATATTGCCCAGGGTAGAACTTTCTAGAGGTTCAATATACGTTGATTCCTACATTTCTACCTTCAGCCTGACTCCCTGTTCTTGGCCCAAATCCAGCCAGAACAGAAATTGCTCTATAAGCCCCTCAGCACAGGAGGGAAATCCTGGAC